TTGTTGTTGTTGTTGTTGTTGTTGTTGTTGTTGTTGTTGTTGTTGTTGTTGTTGTTGTTGTTGTTGTTGTTGTTGTTGTTGTTGTTGTTGTTGTTGTTGTTTGTTGTTGTTGTTTGTTGTTTGTTGTTGTTGTTGTTGTTGTTGTTGTTGTTGTTGTTGTTGTTGTTGTTGTTGTTGTTGTTGTTGTTGTTGTTTGTTGTTGTTGTTGTTTGTTGTTGTTGTTGTTGTTATTTGTTGTTGTTGTTGTTGTTGTTGTTGTTGTTGTTGTTGTTGTTGTTGTTGTTGTTGTTGTTGTTGTTGTTGTTGTTTTTTTTATTTATTTATTTGTTGTTGTTGTTGTTATTTTACTATTGTTGTTATATATTTGGCTGTATTTGTTGTCATTATTAACTTTGGGAGGATATTTAGGTATGACTTGTGGAGTTTAATCTATTGTTGGGAATAATTTGTATTGCGTAGTGTATTGCTTTTAGTATTGCCTTTAAAAAATTTTTTGGTAGGATTGATTGATGGCGTCATAGACAGGCAACGCCAAAGTAAGCAATGAGAATTTCTAATGGTAGCGGCACCGGGGGTGATATAGTGTGGATGCCTCCCGGAGCGTTTGATTTTAACGCCATCCACCTCTTGATTAAATTCCAATCCGTGCGTTTCCGCCCACCATAAATTCACTTAATGGTTTGTGTTTGGGCGAACCAATATGACGCCACCATAAACACTGAGGAAAGAGTCACTGATGGAAAATAAAGCCGCAGCACACAGAGTATATGTTTACCCAGCTATACGGGCGCTGTACCCTTGTGGCAACACGACGTATGTACGGCAAGCCATGAACCATCTTTTATGTCAAGTGGCAGTAACTTCTGTTTACACCTTGACGTAGTGTGGCACTCTTTTTAGCACTCTTATACGATCTTGTTTTGCCGATAACTCCCGTGTAGATTCCGCTATGCAGTACTCACTTCTTTCTGGCGTAGTGTGTGTGTGTGTGTAATAATAATAATAATAATAATTAACGGTTTATTGAAAGAGCTTGGCGCAGAAGGCTGAAAATATACAGTTACATATTTGGGGAATGGGTTACGAATTACAAATAATATACAAGTGACATAAGTGACACAAATAAGACATATAGTAACTTAGATGGGGATCAGCTCAAACTACAGTTCATTTCAACATAGTGACAGTGTAGGAGCAGTGTTTACTGGGAATTGAATACACTGATTTATTACATGTTATTGATAATTTTTACAATGGTTGGGATTGGGCTGTTCTTGCGATCAGTTCGTGCACGTATGGGCTGGATGCGGTTGTGGTGTCGAACAGCAATTCTCGGACAGGGGATCTCAGGTGGTAGTAGGGGCCGGTGTCGGGGGTGGTGTAAAAGCTTCTTACCAAATTTGCAGATGAGGCCGTGGTGATGGTCAGTGAGAGTCGAAAGGGTCAGTGTGTTGAGCGCTTCTTGATATGTGGAGTAGGAAGGGGCGAGAATAATCTTGCATGCCCTCTTTTGCACTTTTCTAGGTGTTTACGTTGTGTGGCATTTAGGGAGGAAGACCAGGTGGGGGAGGCATAGGTGAGCTTGGGAAGTATGAATGTTGTGTATACACTGAGGGGCTCGTGTGCGGGAACTCCGAGGACTTGAGTCGGCGGAGGAGGTGGGGAACGGAAACTGGAGGATTTGACAACTTCACTGACGTGTGGTTTCAATTTAGTTTGTTGTCTATGGTGACGCCGAGGAGCTTCGTGGAATCTACAACCTGGGTGTGTTCGGACCTAGGGTAATGGAAGGAGGTGGGACAATGTCGGAGGAGAGGTTGATGTGCATAACCATGGTCTTGGTATGGTTGATGGTGACATGGTTGTTGGTGGCCCAGTTTTGGAGACTGTTCAATAAATCCTGGAGGGCGGTATAGTTGGGAGCAGAATTGTTGACGCTGATCCCAATGGTGGAGTCGTCGACATATTTCCAGCGAGCAGGGGTTTCTCTTAGGGCATCATTGATGAGCATAAGGAAGCAGAGTGGTCCCATCTTGGTGCCTTGGGGTACGCCACAGGTGAGTGACTGAAAGGTGGAGACAGCCCCTCGGAAGCGTACAGCTTGGCGTCGGTCACTGAGGAAGTCTGTAAGCCATGTGGTGTGTGTGTGTGTGTGTGTGTGTGTGTGTGTGTGTGTGTGTGTGTGTGTGTGTGTGTGTGACGTACGTTCACCTCAAGGCTGAAATGAGCATACCCGTCTGCATAGGTGTCAGGACACACACACACACACTACCGGCACTGCACTCAGCCGTCTAAATTACCCAAACTATAAAATCAGTAACCCATATATAGATAGTTTGACTTGGGATTGAACCAGAATCATTTAGGACGGGAGACAAGTGTTGTATCCACTCTCCCACTGCACCTCGATGTAAAAGGTACTCTTAACTACATAAACCTACCAAGTTCAGTTTTTATTACAAGTAATTAACAATAGCCTACCCAGTTTAGTTTACCGTCGGTGTTTGTTTTACAGAATAACAAAGTGAGATAATTAAAGGTATCGAATGTGAAAAAAAGAGAAATCTGTAGTTTTAGGGAAATGTTACCGATAAATTGTGAAAAGTGACCGGTAGACACACGTGGACACAAACAACGACAAACAACGACAAACAACGACAAACAACGACAAACAACGACAAACAACAACAAACAACAACAAACAACACAACCTTCTTCTGCTACAACTCGCAACACAACAATATTTAAATACAAGTCACAATGTTGTTTAGAGACCAACAGACCCCGTGACTCACTACACTGAGGTCTAGGGGCCCATAACTCTGAGGTCTAGGGGCCCATAACTCTGAGGTCTAGGGGCCCACTAACTCTCCGCCCTGACGACTTCACCTGACGATTATTATTATACTATTTTGAGATGGTCTTGTGACATACCAAGGTCGTGTGGGGGATATTTGGTGTTGTTTTATTGAGATATCGTGTTAGTCTCTCTCTCTCTCTCTCTCTCTCTCTCTCTCTCTCTCTCTCTCTCTCTCTCTCTCTCTCTCTCTCTCTCTCTCTCTCGTGTCCTCTATCTTCTTAACTTCCTCATATCGAATTTCTCTCATTGTTCTCTCTCCTTCCTTTCTCCTCCTGTGTGTGTGTGTGTGTGTGTGTGTGTGTGCACCTTTCTCTTTGTTTTCTCCTCCTGTGCGCCCCTTTCTGCTTTCTCTTCTCATTCTTCTTTGTGTGAGCATCTGTCTCCTCATTTTCTCATTATTTCTTTCTCTTTTGTCTCTCTCTCTCTCTCTCTCTCTCTCTCTCTCTCTCTCTCTCTCTCTCTCTCTCTCCTCTCTCTCTCTCTCTCTCTCTCTCTCTCTCTCTCTCTCTCTCTCTCTCTCCTTTACCTCTCGTCTACATCACCCACACACACCCACACACACACACACACACCTATGTACGCACATCCTCATTAACGACTTCTAATGACGTCACGATACTGAGGTCAGGTATACATGTACAATATATTCATACATCAGTCAGTCAAAAGTCATTCAAAAATTATCATCATATTTTTTATTTAATTGGTAAGCGCAAAATTTCTTCTCCGGGGAAACAGATTTTTGTTTTAATTTTTCTTTGATTTTTTAGTTAATGAAAAAAAATATTCGTAACGTGGTATTTGTTTATTTATTTTAAGTTGGTTTTAATCTTCTGTGACATAATCCTCCCGAGTGATTAACATACATGGTACTAAAGAGTCTCGTCTGATGACTATGGATTAGCGAATCTGATCTAGTTTAGTTCTATTGCGATTCTAACTTTAGACCTTCACTCTCCCCCCCACACTCTTACTCTCCCCCACACACTCTTACTCTCCCCCACACACTCTTACTCTCCCCCACACACTCTTACTCTCCCCCACACACTCTTACTCTCCCCCACACACTCTTACTCTCCCCCTCCGGGGTAGAAAGTATCATTTATTCCTCCGGGGTAGAAAGTATCATTTATTCCTCCGGGGTAGAAAGTATCATTTATTCCTCCGGGGTAGAAAGTATCATTTATTCCTGGGTAGAAAGTATCATTTATTCCTCCGGGGTAGAAAGTATCATTTATTCCTCCGGGGTAGAAAGTATCATTTATTCCTCCGGGGTAGAAAGTATCATTTATTCCTCCTGGGTAGAAAGTATCATTTATTCCTCCGGGGTAGAACGTATCATTTATTCCTCCGGGGTAGAAAGTATCATTTATTCCTCCGGGGTAGAAAGTATCATTTATTCCTCCTGTAGAAAGTAGAAAGTATGGTTAAAACACGTGTCAAGAGTAAAATCCCTAACATACGCTGATGTCTCCCTAGTTACAACACATACCAAGAGGAGCTGATATTGAGATGTGTTTGTTTTGAAAGTTGTGTTGTGTTGTGTTGTGTTGTGTTGTGTTGTGTTGTGTTGTGACTCAAGATGGCTGTCTGCTTTATCCTTGGCACTTATTCAACAAAGAACTCCTACCCCATCTTTTGTTTATGTATAGACAGGAGTTTTGATATAGTACCAGCAATGATTTATTTCCCTTTGAATATACAGGTAGTTTAGGTATCTAGTCAACAGCTTGGTGTAGGATAAATAGTTTTACTGTGATACTCTTTACTGTTTCGTGTTAAAGAGTTCGTAATAGTGTTCTTTATAAAAATGTTCCTCAAGAGTGACAGGTTATTTACGACTTTCAAATAACATTTTTTTTCTTCTCTATTTTGTTGATCCCGACATTAGTGATCTTTTACCTGTGTGAACCGGTGGATCAAAGAGTTACTGCCGCCATTATTTTCCCCTGGCCTTATTGAGACTAATTAGTGGTTCATTAATTAATCTACCTCCCTGATGCGACCTGTCAATGGGCTTCAAGACTCAAAGGTTCTGTGGAAGAAGCCTGTAATGTCTCCGGCTATAGTGAGGGCTGATTATACCTGCTAATTAGCTTTACCTTTAATAATTCCTGACCTTTTCTTCTCTACTTTACAGGCTCTGAGAAAGTGACCGCCCTGCTGGCTCTTACTGCTCTACAGGCTGTGGCTGTCCTACTGTCGCTGGTGTAGTGCGAGCAGTGACTGGCAGTGTTGGTGACTGTCACTGGTGTGTTGCGAGCAGTGACTGGCAGTGTTGGTGACTGTCACTACCCCCCTACTGTTGCTGGTGAAGCGCGGGCAATGATTGGCAGTGCCCAGTAACTGTCATTGCCCTCTACTGCCTCTGGTGTAGTGCAAGCAGGACCCCGAGCAGTGACTGGCAGTGCTTCGTGACTGTCTCTGCATTGTCGTCGCTGGTGGAGCGTGTACAAGACCCCGGACAGTGACTGGCAGTATCTGGTGACGTCACTACTTGACTTGTGTAGTGAGAGCAGTGACAGATAGTAACTAGTGACTGCCACTGTCGCTGATGTGTAGTGTGGGCAAGAACCAGAGAAGAACTGGCAGTGTCACTACCCTACTGTCGCAGCAACAGTCCGAGCAGAGAACCCCAAGCAGTGACTGGCGAGTGCCTGTGATTGGCGTACAGTCGGACAGAATCTACTGACTGGTGTGGAGTGTGACAGTTCTTCATCCTGTTAGTGTGTGTCCGTGTGTAGAGGTTGGGTCCAAATATAGTAATCACACTTAACACTTTACACTTTACACTAAACACTTAACACTAAACACATATCTACAGTAGATGTGTGTTTAAGTAATTGGACTTAACACATGTACATTACTACAGTTTGAAAAAAAATACACTTAAACAAACTTATGTAAATATATATAAGTAAATGGACGTGACACTTACAATGTACTACAGTTTATATAAAAAACACTTAACAGAGTTGTCTAGATATATTTAAGTAATTGGATTTTTACACTGATACTTATAATGTTCTACAGTTAATTCAACACTTATAAATGTATTAATAAGTAATCAGATTTAACATTTGATTAATGGACCACTTTAAAACTTGAGCTGTTATAAATACAGTTGTCTAGATGTATTTAAGTAAGCAGACTTTACACTTATTAACTTACAATCATCCACAGTCAAAAACGTAAAGTTGTCTACATATATTTAAGTAACTGAGTTGTACATGTACAGTACTTTCTTAAGGGGTTAATGTCTGTGGTCTAGCCGTGGGATGGCTCTGTGTGTGTGTGTGTGCGTGCGTGCGTGCGTGCGTGCGTGCGTGCGTTTTATCACAGAAGACTTTTACAGTGTGTCTGTGGGTCTAAAAACACACACACACACACACACACACAGGGCCATTCTATACTCTGTCACCCCAGGCATAAACCAATTAAAATCCTCCACAGTAAAAAAAAAAGAAACTTACTAGACACAATTATCATCAGACTTTACATTTACTACAGTATTATAAAGGACAAACCACTGGATATAAGATAATTAAACTCAACATTATCTTAGGTCTATTTAGGTGATAGCCATGAACCTGTAAACTCTAATGCTATATGCCTTACCATTTACCATAAGCCTTTGAGAGAGAGATGAAAACCATAGATATGTCACCTACCTTATTATTTTCTTATTTCTCTTTTAATATACTTACTAACGACGCGTACAAATATTTAAATGTGTGTCGATGATGTTGAGGATAAGTTTATTTACCTGAGAAACATATACGGACACCTTGTCATGCTCTTAGGTTTGTGGTGTGACCTGGCGACACGACATGCGGCGACCTCCAGGCTTTTTGTTTTATGATAGCTGCAGATGTCTCCTCGTCCTTGACCCTCCCCTCCCCTGCCGACCCTTGAACCCCTCCCCTGCCGACCCTTGAACCCCTCCCCAGCCGACCCTTGAACCTCTCCCCTGCCGACCCTTGAACCCCTCTCCCCTGGCTCACCCTGATTCCATCCCTGACCCCCCCCTTGACCCCTACCCTGACCCGCCCTTGACCCCTACTCTGACCCTATTTCTGACCTTCCCTGACCCCTACCCTAAAATTTATGAACAGTATTTATAAAGTAACTTGACACATCCGTAAGGCGCCGTACTGTAGTGAAACATAAACAAACATTTATAATAACTCTACCAATCCGTGTTGTGTCGTGAGCTCACAACACTTACAAAAGAGTTTCAATAACATAGTATAACTACATTTCCAGTGGGACAAAGCAGGTGTCTGGTGTCGGTGGTGGCGGACGTACGAGTAGAGATAAACATGGTACGATAACTTGCCCCACCGACCAAGGCACAACGCTAAATGATGCTTCTTGCCTTTCTCTATAATTAGGATGAATGGATAATGACCCTTTGTACCCTTGTATATTATTACACACTAACACACTTTTATCTGAAGACGTGTGAGGCAGTTTACTGTGTGTGTGTGAGATCATCATGACCTCACCTACTGACTCGAGTGTTGTAAATGTGAATATAAAATGGGGTCACCTGAAAATTAGACAACCCAGTTTAAATCACCTTAAGATTAACCTAACCTAACTCGACCAAACCGAATCTAACCCAACCCCCAAAACGTAAGCTAACCTCTCTAAATCTAACTCAAACCTAAGAAAAACAAACATAACCTAACCCAACCAGGTCGCATTACAGAATTTAAATAATCAGGCAAAATAATCTAAATGGTGGTGCTAATTTTCAGGTGATCCAAACAGTCGTCTTTACTCTGAAGAAAGAAAAGTGAACATTAGTCATAACTTAAGGTATTATAGTATCAAGTGACATATTTTTAGTTCATGTTATCATAGTGTGTAGAAGAGGAGCCGATTAAGACGGTTCACTTAACTATTTTTATTACCCTGCCAGTCTGTTGAGCTATAAGGCTGATGGTGTTATTAGTTGGTGTGTGTATAGAGCAGTGTTGGGAGAGGCGTATTTTAAGAGAGTATCCTTCTCCCTTTGTTTTGTAATGTATCGTGAATTTTATTTTTCTTGATTTACTCTATTTACTCACTTCAGATATGGTGGATCGACGTTTTGTTTTGGCTCGTAGAGAAAGAAAGAAAGAGAGAGAGAGAGAGAGAGAGAGAGAGATAAAGACAGAGAGCTGCTTCGGTGTTCTTTGACGTCTGCCGATTCACTGTTCAATACTTAGGAGACGAGAGGATGTCCTGCTTAATATACAATCAATTATACAATCCATCAATCGTCAGAATCCATCCGTCCTCTCATCCTTGGCTCAGAGCTGCCCCACATTCAGAGCAAGTGTGTCTGTGTGTTGTGATGACCTTGGATGTACCAGCAGGGAGGGAGATGCATTACCAGTCATTACTTCAGGTATGGTTAGCAGCTGTTTTGTGTAGCTGAGATGACAAGCTAGGATAGTGTGGCTGGCTGAGGTGACAAACTAGGATAGTGTAGCTAGCTCAGGTGACAAGGCAGGACAGTGTGGCTGGCTGAGATGTGGTGGACAAGCCAGGATAGTGCAGGAAGACTCGGGCCCTTGGGATGGCTTAGTGTGTGACCCTCGCCCCTGCAGTGTTACCAGCTGAGGCGTGTGAGGGGGTGACAAGAGACACACCACAGCACACCACCTGGTAAGCTGACAGATGGTTCAGTAGTTTGTGGAGTGGTACAGTAAGTTGACAGATATGGTACAGTTGGTCACCTACAGTAAAGGGTTAGTAGACAGTAGTTTGTGGAGTGGTACAGTAAGTTGACAGATATGGTACAGTTGGTCACCTACAGTAAGGGGTTAGTAGACAGTAGTTTGTGGAGTGGTACAGTAAGTTGACAGATATGGTACAGTTGGTCACCTACAGTAAGGGGTTAGTAGACAGTAGTTTGTGGAGTGGTACAGTAAGTTGACAGATATGGTACAGTTGGTCACCTACAGTAAGGGGTTAGTAGACAGTAGTTTGTGGAGTGGTACAGTAAGTTGACAGATATGGTACAGATTGGTCAAGCTTAATAAGGGTTGAAACAGATGAGGGCAGTTGTGATGAAGTGGACGGATGGTAGTTAGCTGGAATGAGAAGCAGAAAGCAGAGATTGGACAGGCGCAGTGACATTAATTAGACAGATGGTTTTTTAGCGTGATGGGGTATGACGTCACTAGATGCTGGCGTGACGGGGGAATGACGTCACAAGATGCAGGCGTGACGGGGGAATGACGTCACAAGATACTCCTGTTTAAGTGGAGTAAGAGTAGTCTTATTTTACTGCCATCCTTCATCCCTTCATTCTTTCCATTTTATCATCCTCAATGACTTCAATCTCTATTCTATCATCCTATCATCAATTCTTCAACCTCCACACCTCTCCTAATACAACATACTGTCTTAGGCTTCCATAATACAATCCTACATACATTTATGCTCTATACTACATTGTATTTTAAGCCTCCATACAATAACCACATCACTTATCCATCGTCTCTTATAAATCATAGTCTTCATACATTTTTCATTCATTTTTTTTTCATTCATTTTTTTTTCATTCATTTTTTTTTCATTCATTTTTTTCATTCATACTCCATTGGATTTCTTAAGTTCATATTCGAGTAAGGATTTAATTCAACACCTGTCGTCGTTAAGGGTAGGATAAGGTTAGGTAAGGATAGGTAAGGTGAGGTAAGGTGTGGATAGGTAAGGCAAGGTAAAATGTTGGTAAATTAGGATGTCATGTGTTTTAACGTTTTGTGAAGGTTCTTAAGTGAGGATGAATGATCAGCTGACGACGTGTAAACAAAGGTTATCATGGGTAGGGGAGGAATGATCAGCTGACGACGTGTAAACAAAGATTATCATGGGTAGGGAAGGAATGATCAGCTGACGACGTGTAAACAAAGATTATCATGGGTAGGGAAGGAATGATCAGCTGACGACGTGTAAACAAAGGTTGACCAGATGTTAACAGAAATAGCCCTGGGAACACATGAATTTTTAAGCTTGTCATGTCACATTAAATATTCATCAACCTCGTCATCGTGGCTAGAGTTTGACGTCCTCCGCGACCAGATCGACAAGACTAAATTAACCTAACAAGAAGATTGAAAGGGAAACTATTTTTACACAAGGGAGGAAAAACTGTGGAGAACAACATACATACAGAGGTTTGACATTCTTGCTTGAGAGGGGAAACGCAGATTGCCTTCTCTATCAACACCTTGTTCTTGTCGATTCTCTTAACTTTTTTTTTTTAGTTTTTTTTTACTTTGTCCTGAAAAAAAAATATATTCGTGGTTTGTTATTAGTTGTTCATTTGTAATAGAGGAATATTTTAGCTACAGTCTACAGGGAGAAGTAGGGAACAATGTCAAGAAGGTTTACTGTTTCTGTCTTTTTCTGGTATTTTCCTTCTGTCTTTGTTATGCTTCTGTCTATCCACTAGTCTAATCTCACTGATCATTAGACAGATAATTTTTTTTTTCTCATGAGTGTAGAGGATAAGACAACGCAGTAAATCCGCATTGGGTTAGATAACAAATGACGATCGACTTGCGGGCACACGTAAAGAGGTTGTCCAGTGCTGTGTTTTAAAGTTGTGCTGTGTGTGTGTTAGTCAGTGTTCAGGAGGATAATTAACCTGGGGGATACGAGCCTATTTGTTCTTCTAGACACTTAAATTATTGTAAGATGGTGTTGCTAAAATATTAAAAGACTTAATTACGAAGAAATATATGTGATGATATGTAAGTTAATGTTAAGTATTTATATAAGTTTTATAGTTTGGTTGAAGAGGATGCGAGTATTTTAAAAATTTCTTGGAATTAAGTAAATGTAAGATTGTCTTGTGTTCACGTGGGTACTAAAGGTTATGTGAACGTGAAGAAATGCTTTTAATGTAAACTTGTGTAGTATTTGATACCCTTGAGTAATTACAAGCTGATGAATAAAATAATGTAATTTTCTTCGTTATGGGATCCTTGTGTGTACTTATATTAAAAGAATTTGTACCTTTTTTTATCTTTTCATCGGAGTACGTACGTAATTTAAGTTATTTTAATGTCAAATTGTTTAGATTCTTAAAATGTAATATTGTAATGCTAAATTCTTTTGTTATCCTGTACGTCCATATAAAAGCTTCTCCATACAATATTATAATAAGTTGCCTGGCCTGGGTCCCTGTGAGTGTATACGGTACAGGTGTATTAACGCTCCACTTTTCATACAAACGCGTCGTGGGAATGCTGGTGGTGGGGCCTGGTTGCACATTGGACGCCGCCCGTCAAAAGCGCCGCTGACCGCAAATGGAATTTCCAATTTCGAACATGTTTTCCCATTAGCAAAAGCAATTTACTCAAATAACAGAAAGTGAATAGAAATTAAAGGAAAATTTACAATTTTCTGGTCACGTCATTCGATGATGGAGTAAAATGATCAGTGCAGGGTAGTGTGAGAGAGGAGGGAGAGCGGAGTACGAGAGGGAGAGAGCGGAGTACGAGTGGAGGGAGAGCAGAGTACGAGAGGAGGGAGAGGAAGTGTGAGAGTGGAGTGTGAGGGGAAAGCGGGGTGAGAGAAGAGGGAGAGGGAGTTTGTGGAAGAGAGGTAGTGTGTGTAATGGGGAAATGGAGAGTGTGGGAGAAGAGGAGAGAGAGAATGTGATAGATGTGAGAGCGAGAATGTAAAGGGGAGAGGGACAGTGTGAGAGGAGGAGTGAGAGTGCAAGAGAAGGGCTAGTGACAGAGGAAGGAGGGGAGAGGGACACTGAACGTAAAGAAGAGGGGTGGTATGGGAGGGGGGGGGGGAGAGAGAGGGCAAAGTATAAGAGGGACAAACAGTATGGGACGCCAGCCTTTGGGTACCTCAACCAATGACATTCTTAACCCCAGCAGGAAAAAAAATATTCGATTTTTTTTTTACTAATTTAATTTTCTATAAATGAAATGTTATGTTAAATATGAAAAAAAATATTAATGATTGAATTTTTACGTACTTATTAGGTATATTTAGTGTACATTCATATCTTTAAAGAAATTAGGGTACAGTATTTGGTATATATTACAGGTTAGTGATGCTGGAGATTACATCTAATTTCGTAAAGGTAATATACAAGAAAAATTCTGTTCAAGACACACCTTTAAGAAGATATCATCACTAAGGACAAAATTAACCCAGAGAAACCTTCAAGAAATAATCACTCGGGTTAATTCATTCTTGGTGTTAAGTGAAGGTATCTAGTCAAGGAAGTCTCAGTATAAGCAAGGTAGTCTCAGTATAAGCAAGGTAGTATTTGTGGTTGTTAGATTTGTGGTTACGTTCATTCTTGCCTCGTGTGACGTGAATCTGGCCGACAGGAACACTATATTGTCCTCGGCAGCTCACTCGTGGCAGTGTCGGGTCACCAGGTACAGGAGGACAGGTGTGTGTTGTGGGGGGAGGGGGTAACCAGGTGATCACAGGTGTCCCCTCTCTCTCACACACACAGACACTCTCACTCTGCCTGTCTCTCTCTCTCTCTATATATATCTCTCTAAAAACCAAACAAACTTCAAAGTTGACTCTCACTCTGCCTGTCTCTCTCTCTCTCTATATATATCTCTCTAAAAACCAAACAAACTTCAAAGTTGACGGTGTAGATAGAATATTATTATTATTATTACTCATTTGGGAAATGTAGAAATTATTTGACAAGAACATAGAGATTTGATTTAGAATTTATGCTAAGTAGTGTACAGTATTTGGATATTTTTCTCCTCACAAAAAATGTATAATGAACAGCAGTAATTACAGGTGTGTGTGTGTGTGTGTGTGTGTCTGTGTGTGTCTGTGTGTGTCTGTGTGTGTGTGTCTGTGTGTGTGTGTGTGTAGGGTAATGTATGTGACAAATAAAACAAAATAAGTGAATATTGTTGGTATTTATTATTCCTTATTCTTACTAACTTTCTTTTTATTGTTGCACTGTATTTGTAGACTTGAAATATCTGTAGTTTACATGGGTACTTTCTGCATTGCATTACACTTATTTAATTCTCCATACAAGATCTGTAGTTTACACACTGTACAGTAGGGGTGTAGAGTACCTCGGTATACATTTACGAGTATACACAGAGTAGTGAAGATGGTGTATATTCCTATGCATATATACCTGGATCATACCTGGTTGATAGAATATACCAGGTACACATTATATTATATTTTTTCTCCATGTATATAAAAATTAGAGTTCAGAAATGAGTCTACTATAACGCCAGTGCTCATTTGATATATTGACTATATAATATTGAAATATGGAACCATTGTTTTGGTTGAATTTTTAATAAGGTAAATAGAAATATGAATATTATATCACCATGCTATCAGGAGTTAACCCTCGTGGCATGGCAAGCGTGAGGTCTTAGTTAGTACTTGAGAAGGACCCCTCGAGGATGAACTTGATGGTCCCTCTAACAACCTCTCACTTCCTCATCGACTCTCACTCCCTTGCTCACCTTCGTTTATATAATCTTATTCATTTATTCTCTCTCTCTCACATTTCCTTCTCCACCTCTCACTTTCACTCCCTCTCTACCTCTTACATCCTCACCATTTCTCATCACCTCTCACTTTCACTCCCTCTCTACCTCTTACATCCTCACCATTTCTCATCACCTCTCACTTTCACTCCCTCTCTACCTCTTACATCCTCACCATTTCTCATCACCTCTCACTTTCTCTCAATGCCTCACCACCTCTCACTCTCACCACCAGGATTCTCATCATCTGGCGAGAGATGGACAGAGCCAAGGTAAGAAGATTTAACCAACGTGTCTCAGTAGGTGGTGATGGCTGGGGATACAGGTAAGTTAATAAGAACCAACCCATACTAACACAGGTACAATGTTTGTTAATTATGGTAAAGTTTTCCCAGGTACTTTATGTGTAGGAATTATTTTTTTTTTCTCGTACGGTTTTCAGGTAATGTAAAATTAACCTGCGTGATTATATTAGTAATTTTGTATGACTTGTGTTTTAAGGTTATGGAAAAAAATGTGTCGTCGATTCTGGATGATATGGTGGGTTAGAATAAGTTAGATTAGGTCGAATTAAGTTAAATTAGGTTACGTTATGTTTAATTAGATTTGGTTAGGTTAGGTTAAATCCCGTCAATGTTAAGGTTAGAAAGAACATAGGGCAATGCACAATATTCCAGGCCAGCTGCTGTGCCTAATACGGTCACAGGGTAACTAGTTGTTATTGTCCACACTTTAATCTGGAAACTCGAAGACCATGATATATGTAAATAGTCTCTCTGTGTGGGCCCTGGACACCGCCATTACAGCACAGGGCTTCACCACCTTTTACAACACACATTTTCAATAACGCCTCTCGCTACCCACCCAACCTTCCCACTGTTTGCCTGTCTGTCACTCCCACCGTCTGTATGTGAGGAGCTCCCTGTCTGTTAGGGTCTGTGGACTTCCCTTTGGATGAGTGTCAGGTGTCTGTTGTATGTGTGGATATGTCTGTTATGGTTTGTGGATGCCCTTTTGGGAGCAAGAGAATGGGAGGGCTTTATTGCATGGGGTCATATCTGGTGTGTGTGTGTGTGTGTGTGTGTGTGTGTGTGTGTGTGTGTGTGTGTGTGTGTGTGTGTGTGTGTGTGTGTGTGTGTGTGTGTGTGTGTGTGTGTGTGTTATTATTCTGTGAATGTTAAGGTTTTGCTAGTAGAGAAGATGTCTGTTCTGGTCTGTGAACATTCTTCCCCTTGTTGGAGAATGTTAGGGTTTGAAAGGGGGCTGTGTTGGAGGTGGGGGCTGTACTGGAAGTGGGGTCTGGATTGGCGGTGGGGGCTGTATTGGAGATGGGGGTCTATGTTGAAGAGGGGGCTGTGTCATCTATATACAGTAATGACCATGAAGACCTCCCACCGAGAACATTTTCAAGTTTTTGTTCATTTACGTCAACTTTTGTAGTGTGCCTGAGTTTACTTGTACAGTGGCGTGACTCGATGTCCATTACCATAGTCAGGTCCTGGCAGAGACTTCCTTCCTCCCTGTTTCACGGTGCACGAGTAAAGAGATATTTGTTTGTTGTGGAATAGCGAGCGTGTTGGACTGTGTTAATGGAAAGTGAGCGTGGTGTGCCGTGTTAGTGTTGTGTTGTGCTGTGTTAATGGAAAGTGAGCGTGGTGTGCCGTGTTAGTGTTGTGCTGTGTTAATGGAAAGTGAGCGTGGTGTGCTGTGTTAGTGGTAAGCGTGATGTGCTGTGTTAGTATAAGTAAGCGAGCGGGTTGTGCTGTGCTAGGATAGAATATAAGCGAGCGTGTTGTTCCTGTAGCATTAAGCATCTGGTTCTGGGCAGTAAAAGCCACCCACGGAAAAACAAGTTCATTCAGCGGCTATATAACGTTCATTTAAAGATTCTGTGTCGCCGGGAGGAAGACGCGTGGATTACCGTGGCTGTGTTTTGAAGAATTTTTATTTTAAGATATTTAATATTTATCAGTTA